GAGCAGAGCGGAGCAGCTCCTGTGAATTAGCGGAGCTGTGTTTGGAAGATGAGCTCGCAGATATTGCTGAAGTTGTAATAAAAACAAGCATTCATAATGTTACGCAGAAAGACCCCAGTAATTCACTTGTAGGTGTTAACAAGCGGTGCAGCTGGAATTTAATTTGCTGACGGTGTTAGGCTAAATCTTTTGCTTGATGGTTAGCTGTGCCTTTTAGTATGCGGCTAATGCTATCTTTCTATCTTTAACATATTTCTAAAGTCGGATTAACTTTAACAATGCACTCTAACTGACAGACATGTCTCTCTAGCAGAGATGCAATCTGCAAAAACGTATCCTTAATCCTCAACCTACTATGATGATAAAAGTTTAAGGCAAGATAATATGACAAAGTAGCATGACCCAGTTAGATGCATGCTGCATGAAACTGCATCTACTTCGTAAGGGCAGCTGTACTTAAAGTATGCAATCTGGAATGCAGCCTTTTTTTTTTTTTTGCCAAACACTAAAAAGCCTCAAAAAAGAAACAAAACGTTGTCCATCTACAACAGAAAACTGGAGAGAGGTCTTCAGGAACTGTTTTCAGTTGGCCAAGTTGTAATGATTCCTACATATCAGCTGGTATCAGACATATTTATGCCGTCTGGAGGAGCAGAAACATTTTCAAGTGAGTTAAATGTTTGCCACATCAGAAGTTTCCATCTCTCGTTAAGCTCACAAACTCTTTCAAGAAAGGGTCAAAAAAGAGATAAACATTTTTTTCTTTCACATTTTCATTTTAGTTCAGCAATTTTGTGTTTTTTAGTTATTAATTTGTTGCATTTAATTAGATGCAGAAAAGACAACAGCAAAAATATATCAGCATCATATACTGGCTATTGAAAAAAACCGATGTGTGGACTATTGGAAAGGAGGGGAGGACTCATGACACATCAACAGAACCCATTAACTTCTCCCTTGACAGTTCCTCCCTTTGGATGTAGCCAAACATTCACAGTCATATGAAAGAAGAAAGAAAGCGCTGCTCCTCTGACCTTCGTGGTTGTAGCTACAATTAGAAACAATGATTATGTTTGCTCATGAATTTGGTGGTTTTAGTAACCAGAGGAGGGTTGACATGCTACGATGAAAAAACTGCTCAGTGCATTTATGTCTTGATTCCACTGTTTTTACACTCAAAATTCTTTGATATGACTATTTTTGCCAGCAATAAATAGATGAACAAAAGGTTTTGGCATTTCACTACGAGAGTTCTATTCCTGACAGTTCAGAGACGGCTTTTTTGACCTTCATGTTTTCGGGAAAAAAATTGCAAAAAGTATGACTGGACAGTTAACTAGGTGAATAAAACACCAAAGTAAAACAATACTTATAAAATGGCCATGGTGGGGGTTTTAGCATTTCTAAAATCCTGGCTTCAGCCCTGCAGACAAATACTTGGATTTCCTAGATAATTCAATAACACTGATTTATGTTCTAACTCCTGCTTTTAAATGATTTCATTTCTGTTTCTGACCAGTTTTGATAATTAGAAGAAGTCGAAGCAGAGGTTTCACTTTCAGAACTTGGAGAGAAACTCATTTTAACTGCTAAACTGTTTTATCAACAGAATCTTAAGCTCTGCTACTGGATGTTTTGTACTGAAATGCAACCCAGAAGCTGAAGCTGATGGAAGATCTAATCAAGGAACCAGGTATTTTCTAAGACAGCTGATCATCTCTTGTATTGACGACTAAAGCAGTAGAGTTTCATCCAAGTCCACATCACATTTTCTAATGTTGTAAAAAGGAACAGGGCTCAATAGGAAAAAACAGCTGAGGCTCATGGGTACTGAAGTATTTAGAGCTGCCTGTGATGCTAAAATCACAAAAATCAAAACATATGGAAATCATTGAAACTGGTGCAGACAGGGAACAATATAAAGGAGATACAGAAAGGACAAAAACACTTCCACAACCAGTGCAAAGTTACTGGAGAAACTGTTTAAATGTTTTCCATCTCTACATCACTCTAATGGCTTTCAAAAAAATTCAATGGAACTTAGTGCAACAATAAAACTGTAATGATAAGCAGTTTCTGGACGTACAGGTCAGAGAACGAGTCTCTGCTGTTCGGTTTAACATCCTGCTGCTTCTGAAATCAATGTGACTGAAGGTTTGTCTTGCAGAAGCATCTGCCTCAGCAGGCTGAAGAACAAAGCGGTGAGGTCAGTGCTGTTTAACAAATCACAGCAGTAGAAAAAAGGGTGTTATAGGGTGTGTTGGTGCACGAGAGAGGAACACATCAACATGTAGAGACACACGGGCTGCAGTGAAGCTAGTCACCAAGAGAAACATATTCAAATATGAGCTCTTTTTCTCCATTTCATGCACCAAAATCTACCAGCCAACAGCAACATGAACACTACAAATCAGCAGAAGCAGTTTGGTTTGTTGTATTCATCTGCTGCATCCAACACAATCAATTATTCTCATGAGGCTAAAGCATCACACAAGATCCTGCTGTAAAACTACAAGAGAATGCGACAAAGGTTACAAAAAAATCAACACCACCAAGTGATATTAGGTTCTCCATGTCACATATTTGTTAAAGTGAAGATGTGTTGATATATTTTAAGAAAGCACTGTAAGAATTAATGGACCTATATACTGATATAAACCAATGTAATATAGTTTTCACATGGTGAGAATATGTGGTGAAATAAATACCAGATAAATCAGGAAACTTGCACACGTTGATGCAAAAAGAGTCCAGAGTAGCTGTGATTAATCGAATACTTGATTATGTTTCAACTATTAAATTAATCTCCAACTGTTTTGACCTTGGTTTGAGTAATTTTTAGGAAAATCTCTGACTGCAGCTTCTGACGTGAATATTTTCTGCTTTTTTTTTTTCTCCTCTAAGATGGTAAACTGAACATTTTTGTGGACAAAACAAGACATTTGTCATATTGGGCTTTGAGAAACATTCAACATTTCACCGTTTTCTGGCATTTTACAGACCAAACAACTAATCAATAACTCAAGAAAATAATTGACAGATTGATTTACAGTGAAAATAATCATTGCAGCCTTTAAACGGACACTCAGCTCTTGTTTCTGCGGAGTTTGACTTCTCCTAAAGTGAATCCCTTTTGTTCAAATGTGTCCATTTAAATAAACCCCAACGTTGCCAGAAAGCCGCCCTGCTCATTGATTTGCAGCTCTGCCCTCGATGACCGAACGGAGCCAGAGACATTAAAGCTGGAGCTTCCAGGACATAAACTGCACGTGGAAAATCTTTGTGTGGCGACAAATTCTTATCATCGCATCAGACCTGACCCCACTTGAATATCAGGTGTCGGCTTTTTAGAGAATCCAATCGATGAAACCTTCAGCGCAAATTCACATTATGGAGCAGGAGCCGGCCCGGTAATGGGCTGGGCCATTTGCTCGCTCAGCAAATACACCGTCAGTGTTATGGTGTACAATATTTCAGGGTTTTTTATTTATCAGTATTAGGCATCTGTTTTAATGCATTTGCTGCTGTGACAGTTACATTTCTGCGATCAATAAAAATGATCTCAGTGCACAAACTAACACTGCAGGCCTGCTCCGTTAGTTATTAAGTTTGCTCTCCTAATAAAGTGCCTAACTGCCCAGAACGATGAATTATTTATTTTGGATTAAAGCCATTAGCAGCAACGATGTGTTTTCAGTTTAGGAGGCAGGAGGCCTGACTGCACCATCCAACTCCAGTCAATACTTCTGTGTTTTCAGCCCGATGCCACTCTCAGACCAGCAGCCTGAAGGCACCATGCTTTTATCTTTTACAACCTCTCAAGAGTGCATCACTTTTTCCAGATCATACAGAATAATGTTACAGCCTCCAGATAAAGATCATCATGCAGAATGATGCTCAGGTCTGGTCTGGTGAAGCTGAACTCATGTTGATCCTTGGACACATCAGGTTTTTAAATTCATCTTATTTTATTTGCAGCTGTTCTTGTTTTAGTTGATTCATTAGATTTTTAAAAACTCAAATGCTCTACATAATGATTTGTATTATTTTACTAACTTTGTCTTTCAATATTCTTCTTGTTATACACGTCTGTGTTGTGTTCTTACACCTTTTATTTACTACACTGTAAATGAGACCTCCAGACCTCACTGTAAGGTTGAATAAATGAATTAAAATGGGATGAACTGAAGAAGACAAAAGTAGCCTTTTACATGCCGACTGTAATAAATACCGCAAAATGGACAAAGCCTGTAAAACTTGATATAACCTTGTATTTCCATTCGATGTTTTATTGTTGTGACATGCTTTTGAACTGAGTCTTTAATGAGGAGCTTCTGCTGAATATTTGCAAGTCCTTGGATGCTAAGGATGAACAACACTTCACCGTGTTGTTGCCTTTAAATGGAAATATCTTGTCATTGTTTGATAAAAAGTAAAAATCTGTTGCAGAGACCTTGAATGTAAAGCAAACTGGCATTTTCTCACACTTTTTCAGAATGAACCAATTCGATAAACCAGCAGAGAGCTTTAATATTTTTATTTATTAAATATTATTATATGTTAAATGGTTGCTTATTTATGTCTCCCTTTCTTTCTTTCTAGTTTAGTTCTAGTATTGTCTTACTTTGCTTCCTTAAATTTTGACTTAATTTTATCTGTCTTGTCACTTCAAATCTGGATGTTTTTAATGACTTCTTAATTCCGTCTGTTCTGTATAAAAAAGTTCTATACGATAAAAGTTGAGTTTAAAAATTTACAAAACTAAAAAAAAAAAAGTCTGTTGCATAGAATTTCTTCCATGATGACCCATCACCAACCTGCACAATCTCCCAACACTGTGTCAGGAGCCTCTCCACCCTGATAAACACAACTCTCTCCAACAAAACGTCCGCCAGCAACAGTAAATATCAGCCACCACCTGTATCATAGTGAAACCTGTGAATGAACAGAACCTGGATCACTTTTAACCCACTGACAGACTGTGGTTCAGGAATCCTCACCTCCTCTTGTACTCGTCCCTCTCCCTCTTCACTTTGGCCAGCACGTTGTACAGCGCCCTGATCTCCGGTGTGATGGTGTCGATCTGGACTCCGACACCGTCCGGGTGTGTCCAGGACACTCCGGGCCCCGTGACGCACGACTCCCTCCCGGCGCCGAACCTCCGGGTGTGGTTGAAGGACCAGATGGTTCCGGGGAGGAAGCGCGGAGGAGGAGGTGGCGTGTTGGTGCCGGTGTGAGCGGAAAACTTCTCGTTGATGTTGCCGATGGTTCTGGTCGGGTCGCTGGGACTCAGAGCCGGACTGATGGTGAGGTTGGAGTTGGAATCCGTGTTCAGGTTGTTTCCCAGCAGGTATTTGTTGTCAAAGAGAGGAGGAGGGTTGAGGGTAGGGGAGAGCAGGCCGCCGGGCAAGTAGGCCGAGTTGTTGGCGTTGTGGAGCGGGATAAAGCCCGGTCTGGCTGAGATTGGCCCGATGAATCCGGTTTGCACCCCCATTTCTTTGGTCAGCGGCTTCTGGTGCTGATCCCCTCCGCTGTTGTCCTCTAACGCCTGCTGCAGCTGCTTCTCCAGCACTTTGTTCCTGCGCTCCAGTTCGTGCACTTTGGCCAAAAAGCAGCGGAAGCGCAGGTTCAAGGTCTTCAGCACGCTGATGTTGGATCCCAGGTCGTTGCGCAGCGCCGTGGCCGCCGGTGGCACCCGGTGCAGGGGGCTGCTCAGGTGCAGGTAGGCGAGGCCCGACGGCGGCAGGGCGCCCAGATCCAACCCGGACAAGCCATCCGGCCCGAATCCGCCGTGATCCCCCAGGAAGTAGCCTGGCTCCGGGATGGCCGAGTCGATTTGGCCCGTCATCTGGTGGTGATGCTGCTGCGGAGCCAGGAGGCCGCTCTCCCCCAGGACCGGATTCATGCTCGAATAGGAAAATCTGAAGTGCTCGAAATCCGGCATGAACCCAGACTTCTGTAGATTCAGCTCGGCAAGTAATTCCGTGTAAAATCTTGTAATTATCCCGAGCAGGAATTAGGCTCAGCAGCCTGTGTTCGGGTGTTTTTTTTTGTTTTTTTTTTCCTGGTTTCACTCGATGATCACCTTTACGACGATGAGCTGTGGGCAAAAAAAGCAGATGATGCGTTTTAGAGGGAGGCTTTCTGGGCCTAAAATGGCACCAAAAATCCAAGCACAGTGCTGCAGTAAACCTATCCTGACGTACAAGAAAAAAATAAAAAATAAAAAAAATGAGGTGCCTCCGAATCTGCACACACACCGCTGGATCCTGCAGCAAAATGACATTACTGAGTTTACGTTCACGCAAGACTCGTTTCTGGGGGAGAGACACGGTGGCGACGCGCACCCGCATGAAACGGTTTATTCTAAGCCTTATAATAAAACCCCACAGAAATATTGTGCTGCTTTAATGAATTATTTAGGCCACTTACCTTCAGTCCGAGGAGATAAACTTTGATTTCAGGTAAAGAGGTGAAGTCAGTGCGGAGCGACGCTGCAGCAGCAACAAACAAGCGACTGACTGCGGCTGAAGGTTACCGTACTGACGCTGAAAGAGGGGCACCAAGCAGGTCTAGATACCGTAATAACACCGGCAGAGGTGCGCAATAAAAGTAAAGCGTTGTAATGTGTTGCTATATTTTAGAATCAGAATCAGTCTTATGGCCAAGTTGGGGTTTGACGTGGTAATTTTTTGCATCACAGTAAACACTGACAAATAAAGAATTCTGAAAGAAGGATAAAGTAATTTTAAAAGAAACAAAGTGCTGCATGTCAAATAAACAGTAAGTGTAGCAAATCCAGGGAATTTTAGGTGATGGAAAAGTAATAGTAATATGTACAATGTGCACATTTTTCACCTGAGAATTTACAAGTTCACGTATCATTTACACTGTAAGATAAATGGCCTGATATATGGATAATATAACTGTATATGTAAAATCACAGTTCCAATATATTCTACAAATATAGCATATCTTATTTTTTTTTTCTAAAAATTAACTTTAAAAAAATGTTTCCAAAAGGTGGGGATAGCTGGTTATGATTAATCTCGTCAAATAAATACCAGACAAATCACGATAACCTAACATACTGATGTGGACATGGTCTCGAAGCTGCCATTATTAGTTAAATAACTAATTAGTTGTTGAATATTTTTTAAAAAAAGGAAAAAAAAGTGTAAATTCTCTTATTCTAGTCTCTGAAATGTTAATATTTTCTGGTTGATTTCCTGCTCTAGGGCTTCAAGGTGGATCAGTGGTTAGCGAAGTTGCCTCGCAGCTAGAAGGTTGCTGGTTCGTGTCCCGGTGAGGACACTGGGATCATGTCCTCCCCATGCAGAGTAGGTTCTCTCCGGGTTCTCCAGCTTCTTCCCACAGTCCAAAAAACATGTTGAGGTTAATTGGTGATTCTAAATTGTCCGTAGGTGTGAATGTGAGTGTGCTTGGTTGTCTGTCTCTAAGTGTAGCCCTGTGATAGACTGGCGACCTGTCCAGGGTGTCCCCTGCCTTCGTCCTAAATCAGCTGGGATAGGCTCCAGCCCCCCGCGACCCTAGTGCGGATTAAGCAGTGTATAGATAATGGATGGATGATTGACAGTGAAACTAATCTGTAGCTGTGGCCCTAAAAAGAACACTGAGTTCTTGTTTCTGTGGAGTTTGACTACTTATTGCAAGTCCCTTTGTACAAAAGCTTTTAGAAAATGAGAACAAAAAACTAATTCTTGCCTTCTTCAGAGGTATAAAATATCAAGCATCTGGCAGTCAGTCCGGTCCAGATTTGACGAGTCTGTTCTTTTTTTTTTAATTATTTTTTTTCCAATCCCTTCAGTAGAGTAACCAAGAAAAGTAATGTATAATGTATACTTAGATGGTTTTTCCTCTACTTGTTGAATATTTATAAAGGTGGACACTGAAGCAAGAGCAAGTACAGGTGACACAATCACCTACAGTCTCAAAAAGCTCATCAGGTTTGTATAGCAAGTGCAAAATAAATCACAAGAATCACATGTCTTTCCACAAACAGAGGACTTTAATATCATGTTAAGTGCAAAGGAGCCACTGTGCATGTTTGGTGCAACGCGACCGTTCACAGCTCAGTGACGGAAAGTCATCTGCACCATCCTCATTGCTGAGCAGAACAGAGGTGACTGCATCATATAAAAAGGTCATAAGCTAGACATTTGCTCCCGGGTCGGACGACGCGGCATCCAGTTACAGGTGAAGGAACAGGGAATCATGGGAAGGAAGGATGAGTCATGACTAGGCAGGACTTTACTCCTTGGAGAACATGTGCTGGACCAGATCACACACACGGTTGCTGTAGCCGAACTCGTTGTCGTACCTGCAGACAAACGGAGACCGAGAGAGGTTAAAGAGATGTTAGGAAATGGAAAAGCATCTCATTACAGGGAATCGTGGTCTTTGAATTTACAAGAAAGGGTTACATTTTAAGATTTGGTAGCATCTTGTTGAAAGCAAATTTCCTTACACAGAAAACTAGTTCATTTATATGTGAATTCTTGTTGCTTGCTAGAGGAAGTAAGTAAGTAAGTAAGCTCAGAACAGTGCTGGGAACTCCTCCTCTTTGATATTTAAACTTTGGTCAGCTGCTTTTTGTTAAATATGGATTCATTTTAACACTGAAGTCAAAACAAGTTCTAACAAGAGAAGAATCTTGCTCCAAAACACAAAAAACTCACCATGAAACCAGCTTGACAAAGTTGTCGTTTAGTGCGATGCCAGCGCCGGCATCAAAGATGGAGGAGTGAGGGTCGCTGTTGAAGTCTGTGGACACAACCTGAGTAGAAAGAAAGAAACATTTTAGGGTAATGTATATTTACTTCTTGCTTGCTTCTGACTACGTTAACCCTCTGAACCCTAAAACCCACCAGATGGTTTGAAAAGTATGTTATCCTTTAAAAAAAAAAAAAAGTCAAATTGCACCATTTACAATCTTAAGAAACAGCAAACAAAAAGGATTGTTGATTTTCACCTCTGAGTCCTTGAACTAGTCATCTGTTGCGTAATGTTCTGTCTGGAAAATTACCTCAATTTAAGCTTGATTGTGAGATTTAATCAGAATCACTTTATCCCACATGTCTGACTAAAATGTACAAAATTAAGCCATGTCTTTTAACCACATTCAGTAAAAAACAACAACAAAAAACCCCAAAATAGTCAGTGTATAAAAAAGGCAACAGCTGCAAAAAAGAAAAGCCTAAAAACAGCCTCAAGTTCAGAGGCTCAAATCAGTCAGTGCCACTGTAAATTGGAAATGTGCAGAAACTATACGGCATCTTGCTCTGTGGAGTTATTTAGGGTCATGCTGCCATCTTGTGGTTCCTGTGTGGCCACACAAGCTCCAACATAAACCCACATCATTTGGGTCTTCCTCTGTGTTTTGTACCTGGTCCTCTGTGTATCCCAGATATCCCTTCATGGGGCCCTCGGCGGCGGCCTTGACGACCTTCTTGATGTCATCATACTTGGCCTGAACAACAAGAAGAGAAAGTTAGACATCAAAATGAGTGCACTGAAATGAGAATTTCAGGGTTTATTACACCTGCCAAAATCGACATGTTTTAAAACATCGAGTCACTTTGATGGAAACACATTGCAGAAATCATGCAGCAAAGGATCGGTCACAAAATAAGGTCCTAAATCTGGTCGAAAACAAGACAAGAAGTCTACTAAGATACACTCTTTACACATCTATTTCACTAGACAAGTGTGTTTAGACCTTTACACTATCTAACTCATAAAAAGGTAATTTTTTTTAACTGTTCCTTTTAAGTGATGAATATTTAGCACGAAAATAGTGCACATAAATGTATTTTTGCAGGCTTGATAGTGTGCAGGAGCCTGAAACTAAAACAAAAATGTAAAATTTTGATAAAAAGTTAAAGTCAAATCCTCATGTGTGCTCTGATTTCTAAGTAACCCACGCTAAAACTTCAGGTTATGTCATTAAATACTTACAGGCTTCTCCAGGCGGACAGTCAGGTCAACGACAGACACGTTGGGGGTGGGGACACGGAAAGCCATACCGGTCAGTTTGCTGTTAAAAGAAGACAAACATCAGAATCAAAGATCTCATTTTGATGATTTTATTCCCTTTAACAGCCCCAACACTGATCTCAGCTACGGAACAGACTGAAGATCTTAGAGTTACATTTCTTTTTACTTCTCTAATTTTCTGTTCCTTTTCATATCCCAAGAGTCTATTAGGTGAAGTTACCCGTTGAGCTCAGGGACGACCTTGCCGACAGCCTTGGCGGCTCCAGTGGAGGCGGGGATGATGTTCTGGGAGGCACCACGTCCATCTCTCCACAGCTTACCGGAGGGACCGTCGACTGTCTTCTGTGTGGCGGTGACGGCGTGGACTGTGCTCTGCAAGAGTCAGAGCAGACAGCAAGAACTTAAACAGGAGATGTGAAGTGGAGGTTAGTCTTGAGTGATCCACAGTTAAATCAGCTGTCAAATCAGTCCAACACCCATGAACTTACAGCATTTACACCCGTGATAAGAGACTTGTGCACTCTGAGCCTCCTCTCCTTAATGTGCATTTAAGTAATCGGCAGATCCTCCATTGTGGATTTAAGTTAGCAACACGTAAAGCACTTTGTATGTTAAACAGCACAACAGTTAAATCAGATGTTTGTCCAAACAAAGTAATAAATGTGCAAATTTACACAACTGCGTGAAACAAGGTACTGATTGTGATCAGGATGTTATTTTGCAGAGCTACTCTCCAGTCAGACTTTCAGAAAACTGGTCACTGATTTTCTAGCACCATGCTGTCATTTAGTTTTAGCATCTATAACTTTCATTTCCAACAGATGATTAATACTAGAGTCTGAACCTTTTGTTGTTTATGATTAGATAAGTTTTCATAGCAGCTCTAACATCAAAGTTCTGCCTCTTCTGATTTTATTTGACTCTATTTGTTATTCTGTTTATTGGTTTCACCATTTCTAATTTAGATTTTGCTTGTTTAGTACGTTAATGCATTGTGTATGTATATATATGTATATATGTTTATTTATTTATTTATTTTTAAGGTTTTTTTTTTGGCCTTTGTATTGGATAATGCAGTGAGAGAGAGACAGGAACGTGGGGGAGAAGATGTGTGGAAAAGGGCCACGAGCGGGATTCAAACTCATGACCTCCTCATCGGGACTGTTTTTTGAAGTTTTTTGTTGTTTTTTTTTATGCGTTTTTTGGCAGTTAAGAATAAGAACCAGCAAACCAACTGACTGAATTTGACAATTTGCAATGTCAACCCTTAATTAGTTACAAATAGGACATTTTTTAGTTTTGGATTTACAAATGCAAAGACTCACTTCTGTTTCATACTGACTGAACACTGATCTAATGTAAATTCAGATTCATCACTTTGTTAAGTTTTGCATATTGCATATTTTGAAAAACAAATCACTGAATTTTTAGTTGACTTCTTGATGAATAAATCTGATCACTTGCTACAGCTCTGACTGTGACCTGCTGCCTGAAGTTTCTCG